AGAGCGGTGGCAGAGCCGGGCAGGGGAGGCAGGAGGGGGAAGCAGCCCCTGGTGACAAACCTGCTACCCTGGGGCTCTGTCTGAGCCGGCGAGCCTGGCCTGCAAATCGGGTTAGCTTAATCGCGCCCAGGAACCCCTGGCAATTCATTTGGGATGCTGCTTAATGAGATTTCAGCAGATGGAGATGTAACACCTTTGCTCTCGGCTGGGGCAAGGCCCACGCTGCACTGTTCAACCTGCGGTGACAGCCCTTGAACGCGCTGTCCCGCTCCGCCTGGGCTGCTCGACGGGGGCTTCGGGGCTGAAGCCCCAGGGCTGCTCCAGGGCAGATGCACCTCTCACCGCAAGCTCGTGGGAGACTTTCCCAAGCGCCTGTAGCAGGTCTGCTGGGGTACCGCGGGAGCCGCCTCCAGGATAGTGAGCATCCTTGGCAGGGGAAAGGGGTCCCCTCCGTCGCCTGGAGGGGAGGGCAGGGTCTCCCTCCGGGAGGTCTCTCCTCCACCTCCTTCTCTCTCTTTCTCCCTGGTTCCTATCCGGGCTGCAGCCTGGAGCTGGGACAAGGATCTAAAAATAGTGGTGGGGCCTGTATATGCATCTTCAGCAAAGAGACTCATAAATGCAGCCAGGACTGAAAATCAATTCTTTAAAGCTGAAATCAATAACAATAACTAATATTAATAGTGATTATCCTTTCTTTATTGCACTTTGCAGTTGGAAATGAATTGTTTTTAAGGATTAGCGGCAGCTGAACTCTGTAATGCAATGTAAGACTGAAGATTTACTATGAAAACACAGCTTATGAGCAAAGACCCATTACCGCTGATGGAATACACTTTCGAAATAGCCACAGCCATGGCTACTGCTGCTGCCGAGCAAATGAAGATGCAGAATGGGAAGTCGGCAGAGGGTTTAGATTTCTGGCAGGAGACAGGGATTTTGGTCTCTAACCCTGTCTGGTTTTCTAGTAGTCTGACTTTTCAGTTCCCAGACATCCCAAATGCATTTTCATTTTTGGTGTCTTTTATCTGAAACAGCTTCAGACATGCAAAACTTGGGGAGGAGGGGGGGCTGGGGGGAAGAAAGGGAAGTATGTTAAGCCAGTCATATATATATCTGAGTCAGCCATACCTATATGAGACAGCAGTGTCTAGAGCTATCTACTGTCTGTGTCAGAGTTTCCGAAAAACAGAGCATATTAGGTGTGCATCGAGCACTTTAGGAAAGTCTGGTCTCGAGCGTCCCCATGGGAGTCCCTGAGCACTCAAGAACTTCTGCAGAGTGCTTTCAAAATCTGGTTTCAGATCTGTGTGAAACTCTCGACTTAGAGGAGACGCGACACACCTGGAGTCACAAGGCTCGATTCTCATGTCTCTGCTTGTCTGCTCACGGGCTGGTCCTAGCCCTGCTTCTTGGTCCTGTTTCCCACCTCCGGAATACGGCAGATACTTCAGCTGTTGTGATTTCTTTGAATTTGTTTGGTATTCAGCTTGATTTGCTGTTTCTGGGGAGATTCTCCTTGCGGGGCTTGGCTTACAAGAAGGCAGCAAGCAGGACATGTAGGACTGGTGAGACGGGTCTCTGGGGAACCACCGGCTGCCTTTGGCCAGAGTGGAGGGGGTCATGAACCAGGGATGCTAACTCCTCCGGCAAAGCCTATGTGTTGTCCCTAGAGGGATGTTATTTGTGAGAAAGCAGTCACCATCTATTCCTACGCTGTTCCTTTCGTATGGATTCTTGGCATCTTCTCATTGCATCTGAAGGCCACCAGCCCTTTTCATATGTAAAGTCCAGCAAAGCAGCCATCTGATAGAAGCAGGGCTGGACATTACATATAGGCTGCCTTTGAACCAGTGACCTCAGTTTTACCTAGAAGAAGATTACATCTTCTGTGAGAAGCTGTTGCCAAAGATACATTGGCTGTGCCGCACACGAGTTGGGCAGCAGGCTGGCTAGTACGGAGCCTGCGTTTTGCCTTGAGTCATTAAGCAAAGGAGATGAAGGACAGCGCCCTATCCGTGCTGGATTTCCCAAGTGTCTGAAAGATGCCAGGCAAGCTGACCCTTTAACAGCTTACCTTTTCCCCCAGCCTAAATAAGGTCTGGAAGGTGGAGGACTCCGTATATCTCATTGACATATGTCTGTATTTTCCACAGGTGACATTTATGCTTATACCCTGAAAGCTTGCTAGAACCACCTTGCAATAGGCATGATGTTTTGTCAAGGGCAAAATTCAGTGGGACAGAATACAGGATGACATAAGAATTCAGAAAAATCCAGCAGGTGAAATGCTGCCTCTGTTGGAGTCTATGGCAAATCTCTCTTTGAGCTCAGTTGAGCCAGGATTTTGCCACTCTGGTTGGCATCTCTACACCCAGTGTGCAGGATGCTCAGGCCATGCAGGTTTAGAGCTTCTGAACCTTTGATTCCCGAGTCATTTACTCACTTCTCTTTTCAATACTAAGTTTTTTATTATTAGCTAATTTGCAAAGGTCGGCAGAATGAAAGCCTTTTGCAAACAACAATAGATCAGTGGCAGCCTGCATGCGGGGACTGATTCTATTGCATTATTGATCTCTGGTAAAGGCGATTGACATTTTTCACCTGGGAAGGTTCTTTTATTTTTAATGAAAAAATGGCCTTTTCTCCAGAAAGAAAATTGGAGTCTTGCCTCCATTTTTCTCTGCCATTTTAATTCATAGGTGCCTTCGAAACCTATAAAGGTTTTTGTCTTTGTTCTAGCATTTTGTGTTTGCTGAAAATCTTGGTTTGAGTCAGAAAAGGCACTTTTCAATGGACACAATGTTCTGGTAACCACAGAACTAAGCTATCTTCATTTCCAAACTGAAAGTAACGGATGTCACAACATTTTCCCCAAAGGTGTTTTTCTTCCCTCACTTGTATTTTAAACTCTCTGTCCTTTGAGTGAGACTCTTCAGCCTCCTCAGAAACAGAGGCACTGGGAACTTTCCCAA